GGGGGGGGGGGGGGGGGGGGGGGGGGGGGGGCTGGTGGAAACAGATTACCAGCTCCATTTTTCAGAGTTTGATTCAGCAGGTCTGGGGTAAGGCTTACAAATGATTATAATCACTTCCCAAATGATGCTGATCTTCCTAGTCTGAGCATCCTACTTTGAAAACAAATGTGCAGGATGATGACTAAAAGGAGGTATCTGATCATAAATTGGTCAATTGGAGGTGGCTTAATCCAAGGAAGCTTAGTTTTGGGCAAGAACTAACAAATCTAGTCATTCTCAAACTTTGTAGGAAAGATGGACGGATACTATCACTGACTTCTCAAGGTAAATGTCCTGTGAAAAACTTTCCTGTGACTGTCGGTCATACCCTGGGATGCCCTCTACTCTTCCCACAGTGAGGCTCTGAAACTAATCCTGGTTAAAATAAGGTCTCCCTGTTTATCCCTCTTTAGGAAGTATCTTCTGGGTCATTTGACATTTTATAGTAAAAGGTGTTACTCCTAGCTCTTGGGTGGCTTCTTAGCCATCAAGCCAACTTGACTTCAAACCATTAAGCAGGAAGTGAATATTGCATTTAGACAGGGATGTGACATGCCTGTCAATGACAAAATATTCTATGAAGTTTGATAATACTTGAGCCTTATGAAAATCTTATGGTGGGTATTCATCCTGAGTGTCTAGAATCTGGGACAGATAGAGGTCAAATAGCTTAGCCAGTGTCACTTGGTCAACGAAGAAGAGAGCTGGAACTCAAACTCAAGTCTAACTCTAGAACTTGTGCTCTTAACCCCCTACTGTATCAAAGATACCCAACTTTTCAGAGGGACCAGTTTCCAATGGTAGGCACAGGTTCAGGTTGACGGGATTGTCCTGAGCTTGCAGGCCTGATGCTTGGTGATAATGGCTATGCCTGATGTGAAGGTCTGTGTCTATTGACCTTGTTGAAGGCAGAGATTTCTAGAGGGAAGGAGCAATGATTTTTGGTTGCATGATGGTAGTGTTTAACCTGGTCGCCAGACAATCTGGCAACCACAAGTAGATGAAATTTAACCTGATACATCCAAAATATTTCATCTTAACAAAAACTCAGAGTTCTCATATTCAGTCTCTGAAATCTAGTACATACTTATAACAAATCTTAATTTACATGCTATACCCAACTATGCTTTCCAATAGCTGAATAATGTATCTGTGTCCAAATTAACATACTCTTAAGAAGTACTAGTCAAACTTTGACTGATCGATAGCATCTTTTGGCTAGGAGCTTTTCCAGCTAGTAGCTAAAGCATAACTCTAAAATCTACCTGATTAAAACCTTTATTGAACATGCTATGAGACTGGCATTAAACTACATATTGAGAGTAAAGTAATAAACAGGACAGCTCCTCCAGCAATTAGGGCAGAAAAATGTCAGGTGACCAAAAAGTTAAGAATTGACTGGGAAAGGAATTGCCAAGGGACATCTCACTTTTCCTGTGAGAAATAAATGGATATAATTGTGAGTTCTTAGCTTACCCCTCTAAAATCAAGTGTATGGAGCCCTCTGAATGAAACTGACTTGATAAGTCTCACATCTAGGTGTTTGACAGAGGAAGGCTAGTCTAATGCCGTACATAGCATATAAGTTGTCTAGTCAGGGTCAATTTGCCTCTTTGTGGGGGAGGGTAGTGGTAGCACCTGTACTAACACTGATGCTAAAGTCAGCCGAAGAAACAACAATCCTGGTACTTAAGCCTCTACCTGCCAGGTTCTCTCTAGCAGGGCTTCTTAGACTCTTATATTAACATAGTATGTATCTCCAAAGGGAGCTAAGAATTTATTTTCCATACATATTTTACCATGGAAACTCTTTTCAGATAATGTTATAGGCATAATATCCTATAGAACATTTCTGCAGGTATAGTGTTCTAGTTTTCTTTTCTTTTTTTTTTTTTTTTTGATTTGGAGTCTCACTCTGTCGCCCAGACTGGAGTGCAGTGGCCGCTCCCGGCCACCGCAGCCTCGACCTGCTGGGCTCTGGCGATCCTTCTGCCACAGCCTTCTGAGTAGCCGGAATTACAGGCACGCGTTACCACGCCCGGCTAGTTTTTTTTTTTATTTATTGTAGAGATGAGGTCTCGCTGCCCAGGCGGGTCTCGAACCTGCGGGCTCAGGCAATCCACTCACCTCAGCCTCCCAAAGGCACGGGATTACAGGCTGAGCCACCGAGCCCAGCTGTGTTCCAGTTTTCTAACAACAAAATCCTTAGTAGAACTTAGTCTGATCAACAGAGAAGAATGCTGTTGCAGGGAAAAACTGTTAAGACATACTTCTGAATTGAAGAGTCCCCAGCTAAAATTACCTGAAGTTGAATCACTGCTCTAAAATATCAGCTGGAACCAATAACTTGACGAGTTTATTAGCATATAGTCTCTTATCTCAACTAGAAACTTGATTATTCTTCCAGAGGTCTCATTATCTAAACTTTTATTGGGCTTTTGTCTCAATCTAAATAGCTTCTATCTAGTAACTTACAAAAGACTAATATTACCACCTTAAACTTTTCTACTTTCACTACAGGCTCCAAATCTTGCAAAACCCATTTCCAGTTTAATTGACAACTCTTTCACCTCTGACTCAAAGTTTGTACAGATCAATCCAGATTAATATTGTAATTGATTCTTGTATGTCTTGGTTTTCTGGATGCAATCATTGCTTATTGTGTCTGGTCCTTTGTGTGTTTCTCACTGATTTATCCTTAGAGCATTTGTGTGGCAACATCAACATAGCAACTTGTTCTTGTTCTTTTTTTTGAATTGGAGTCTCACTCCATAGCCCAGGCTGGAGTGCAGTGGCATGCTCACAGTCACCCCAGTGCCGACCTGCTGGGCTCTGGCGATCCTTCCGCCTCAGCCTCCCAAGTAGCCAGAGCTACAGGTGTGCACTACCATGCCCGACTCATTTTTGATTTATTGTAGAAACGAGGTCTCGTCAAATTACCCAGGCTGGTCTCCAAGTGGGCTCAGGCAATCTACTTGCCTCGGCCTCCCAAAGTGCTGGGATTACAGGCTGAGCCACAAAGCCTGGCCACCTCCTGTTCTAATACTGTATGATAGCTTTCTAGGCCTACTGTACAACCTCAGATTTCCCTGCGTTGTATTCCCTGCATACTAGCTGTATAAGAGTTCCAGTTGCCCTATATCCCTCAAGGGTAGGCACCTATTTTTGGAGATAAGTCCTTCTGTAGACTTACAGCTTGCCTGTATAACTGTCTCCTCTGTTATCTCTCTAGTTTCAGAAACTTGTGAGTTTGTAACTGCAGATCCTATTAGACTGGATTCCATCCTCTTTGTGCTAACACTTCCAGCTCCTAAGTGTCTCATAAGCAAGTGAGTTTTACGATAAGGTAATGAGCCAGGCCCAGTCGCTTGCCTGTAATCCAACACTTTGGGAAGCTGAGGTGAAGTGATTGCCTGAGGTCAGCCTGGGCAACATGGTGAGAACTCATCTCTACAATAAATAAAAAAATTAGCTAACCGGGTATGGTGGCATGTGCCTATAGTTCCAGTTGCTCAGGAGGCTGAGGCAAAAGTCCAGCAAGTCAAGGCTGTGGTAGCTGTGATCATTAGGTAACTCCAGCCTGGATGTTAGTGAGACTGATTCAAATAATAAAAATAAAATAAGGTAACAATTGAGACAGTTTGGAATGTGAGGGAAAAAAAATCTTCATACATCTGAGAGATAAATGTCCAGAATATGACACAATAGCAAAACAACCCAATTAAAAAATGGGCAAAAGAAATGAGATTTCTCAGACATATAAATGACAAAAAGATAAATTGAACATGTTCAACATCACTAATCAGAAATGCAAATTAAGACCAAAGAGATTGACTCATACCTGTTAGAATGGCTATTGTAAAAAATGGAAGATGAGGGAGGGGGAGGGAGAGAGAGAGAGAGAGACGCTTAAACACTGTAGGTAGGATTGTAGGTTAGTATAGACAGCATGGAAAACAGTATGGAGGCTCTCTAAAAAAGTTAAAAATAGAAATACCCTATGATCTAACAATCTCATTACTGGGTATATATTCAACTGAAGTTAGATCAGTATGTCGAAGAGATATCTGCACTCCCATATTCAATGCAGTCTTATTCACAACAGCCAAGATATGAAAATAACTTAAGTGTCTCAATGAAGACAATGTGGTATATATACAATATGCAGTACTAGTCAGTCTTTTAAAAGGGACTCCTGTCATTTGTGACAACATGGATGAATCTAGACAACATTTAAAATAAGCCAGGCACAGCAAAAGTGCCACATGCTTTCAATTATATGTGGAATCTAAAAAGTTGAACTCATAGAAGCGGAGGGCAGAATGGTGGTTACCAGGAATTGGGGGCATAGTTGGAGAGGTAGTGATCAAAAATGATGGTACAAAATCTTAGGAATAACTATAAGAGATCTTTTGTGTAACACGGTGACTATAGTTAATAACAATGTATTACATTCTAAAATTGCTAAGAGATTAAGTGCTGTCAACACAAAATGATGTGTGTGAAGTAATGCACATTAATTAGCTTGATTTAGCATTCCATAGCGTGTATCTTAAA